AAAGCTACTCGAAAGAAGGATAAAAGTCAACACCTGCTGAGAATGTATAGGGAGCCTTACTTATTCGTGCTCGAGGTATGATCGAATAAGAACAATGACTGCTCGAAAAAGCGAGAGGTGGTTACTGGAGGTTTTTTGAGCAAGTTAAGTAGTTACTTGGTCGAAATAATAAAAACGTGGGCTAACGGTTACGAGGAGTTATATTTTTCAGCCCACATAAGGGACGTAGTGGATAGCGGTTATGCGCCCACAACGCATTTACACCAAAGTAACCGCTCTCGAGTGTCTCTATAAATAGGAGAAGCATATCCCTTTACGGAGGTCGGAAAACTCATACTTGAACTGAACTCTCAAGCACTCTCTGCCTGTGCATATGGCTTCCGTGCAAGGAATTGGTTTTGGGTATGACTACTTCTCGGCCACTTTTCTTTTCTGCTTTTAGATTAATGTAGTTTTTCTTCTTTTTCCATAGTTATAGATTGTTTAAACTTCAACATTGTAATCATAAACGTGATCATTATGAATTGAACGATGATTTGTATTGCTAATGTATGTTTTAATTACACTGTTCGTTTGAGTATTTACATGCATGCAAATTATTGTTTGATTATAATTCATGAGGATTTGGAAACCAATTTTTGGTGATTTTTGTCGTCTACTTCTACTTTTAATAACACCTAAATTGAAACACTTTGGTGCTAGTTCGAATAAAAAGAATCCATAAAACGAATTCCATCGTAAACAAATTGGCACGCCCGGTGGGACACGTTCAAATTGCAAACAAAATTGGACTAGTTTTAGGTATTCACGTTGTATGAGACTTAGGAGTGGAAGAACCATGTCTACATCTAATAGTAGGAGAGAAACAAACAATGATAATCAAGTAGATGTAGAACAAGGAAATCCCAACCCTGATAATGTGACAAGTGTGACAAGGGGGGCAACGTCTTCCCCTGTTGTGCTCGAAATAAATTTAAAAAAGTACACTAATAAATATAATAGTTTATGTATCATTCTTTTTTATCATTATTTATCAATTAAAATAAAATATTATTAATTATTTTAAATTTAACTATATATTTATAAAATAATTATTCTTAAGTCTTATTGTTCGTGACATATATTCTAATAACTATATTAAAAAAAATAAACTTTACTTATATATATAAGAAATAATTTATTTATTAACTTATAATTAAAACAAAATGTTATGAATTACTTTCAATTTAACTTATATTATAAAATAATTACTTATAACTATTATTATTTTTTAAAGTAATAATTTAAAAAAATGCGCTTTTTTTATACAGAAATCATTATATGTATTAAAATTTTCTGCTTTCCATAAAGTAGTTTCGCATACTAGCTAGTTGTAGTTATAATATGTGTAGAGTAATTAAAAGTTTCAACAAAAAAGTAAAGTATAATTGAAAAAATAATTAATATTGTCTTGAATTTTTAAAATAATAAATAAATAAAAAGTAACATTTTATGTTTCTACTTAATATTTCTATATGTAATTTTCAAAATTATATAGTAAATAACATTAATGTAAAAAGTTTAATTTTGTATTAAACATAATTAAATACATTAAATTTGATTAAATACAACCAATGACTACTGTAAAGTTCAAGTTTGGGAATCAACGACTATATGTTTTCTAATATTTATCCATAATTATTAATTAAAATAAAATATTATAAATTATTTTAAATTTAACTACATATTTATAATTAATTACCTTTTGTTATGAAAATAAAGGTTATAATAAAGAAGAAAATATGAGAGACAACATAAAATTGATCACAGATGTATTAATTTTAGGAAATGATTAACTTATTTATATGTATATATAATAACTAAACGATTACAAAAGAGAAATAATATATAACGAAATTACAAATGATAATAATGTTTATTGATTCTGAACATCTACTAATTGATCCATCAATTATTGCTAGTAACATTCTCACTTTGATGTCCATTATTCTATGGTGTGTCTCATTAAAATCTTAGTAAGAAAAAATTATGTGGGATAAAAATCTTGTGAAGAAATTTCTTTAATATTTATTTCTTCTCATCATGCATACAATCATTTTTTAGATAACAAGATTTAATCTTGTGTATCAATTGCTCAAAAAAATTTATTACATTAACTTTATAGATAGATTTATTAAGTTGTCACATGAAAAAATCAGTTGAACATTTGTCACCTTTATTTTAAAAATCATGAGTAGAAAAGATTTTTTCTTTTGAAATATATTTTGTTCTATCTTTTTTAAAGTGAGTGTTAACATATAAGAGGGAATTAAATTTTTATATTCTTTAAAAATTAATTTTTTAATCAACAATCAATTAATTTGATTAGCCTAAAAAATCGTTTTATATCAAATTGATAAAAAAAAATTGATAAAATTGATCAAAACCAATAAATTAGCCAAATTGATTTGAATAAGTCTAATTAAAGAATACTTTTTTACTTTTAAAATTTAATTTAAAATATTTTAATAAAAATAATATTTAATAAAAAAATAAATTAAAATAAATTTTTTAATATTTGTCTCATAAATATAATTTAATTATTTATGTTAATTGATAATTTTTAATATCTTTATTTTATAATTTATATCATATTATCTTGATATTTTTTATTCTAGATGTAAATTTATTATTATTAATGAACATTGTTATATTTTATTAAAATTTAAACTTAAATATTATATATAATTTAAAATTTTAGTATACATTAAATGTCAAGACCTATAAAATTTAAACTTAAATATTTTTTTTTAATAATAATAATAATTATATTATTAAATGATAATTAAAGTCTAAAACTTTTAAGTTAAATTTTCTGATTTTAAAAATATTGAAAATTACTATTAAATCCTAAATTCCATTAAAAAAATTAGAGAGGATTATCACATATCCCCTGCCCTGTTTTGACTCCCTGCATCCTCCTGTAACTGTTCCTGGGACTATAGCCAAAGATTACTTTAAAAATAAAATAAACAGTGTCAAATAGATTCAGCAAAAACAACAACACGTTTTCCATTTATCTATTCTCTCCTTTTGTATCCTCCAAAGTCCAAACCAACAGATAACAAAAAATTTCAGGTGGCCATCGGCGGTGCAACTCCTCAATGCTGTCAACCATTTGATCGGTGGCTGCATGCTAGAAAGCGCCTTCTAATAATATTAAATATTATATTAATATTTACATTTTGGTTTAGAATGTGTTTTATAAATAACTTCTATTATGCATGTTTTTGTTAGATAATTTAATACATTATATTGAATTAGGCTGTATTCATAGGTTTGTGCAAGGAAAATAGGAGGTTCTATTTAAGTTGATTAAATAAATGAGCGAATTATTATAATTTTTTACTATTAAGTTCAATTTCCACCAATAAAATAAAATAAAAATATGCAAGAAAGAACATTGAAGAAACAACGTTAGAGTGAAGAAAAGGCCCACGTGTATAACTTATGTGTTGTAATTTTAAAATATAATCAACGTTTGTTTAATAGTAATCGTACAAAACAAATGACTTTTTTTTATAAATCTAAAAATTTGACATTGTTTTTTATTTCTTTTAATGTTTTTGTTAACGTTCAAAATATTTGATTAAGATTTTTAAAAATATTTTTGAATATTTTTTGTATTGTTTACTACGACGAGAAGAACAAGAAAAATAATAGCACTTTGCATATTTCTTATATAGAAAGAAAAACGTTAAACTTCACTTTTAAATACTATCAAACACGTGCATTGCATGGATCGCCGCACTAGAATTTATACAAGGTTACATGAAATTTATTTATTATAACGTATATCCTATAACAAAAGATCTCCAAGTAACAAAGGCACATGAAATATTAAAATAAACACCCCAGCAAATGTATATATGTATATAGTATCATCGTAATAACATGTCAAATAACAGGAAAGGAAATGTAGCAAATGATCACTGAAAGGCAGAACCAAACTCCAAAGATGAGTGCTTAATTATCCAACACATATGAGCATAGTTGTTTCATATTTAGGGAGTGGTGGCTGAAGGTGGTGGGGATAGGAAAGGAAAAGATGGGATAGTGGTTGGAATGGAAGGGAAGTTTGGAAGTGAAGTTGCAGCTGGAAGTGGTGGAAGCGTGACTTGTGGGGCAGTTGGAATGGTAGGAAGAGATGGTAAGGGCAAAGGTGGAACATTGCCTTGTGGCAGTGTTGGTATTGTAGGCAATGGAGGAACATTTCCCTGAGGAAGTGTTGGAATTTGTGGTATTTGTGGTAATGTTGGTTTTGGCAGAGTTGGTGCAGATGGAGTTGTCTGCAGAAGATGGCGAGCTGCTAGGCCAATATCCATACTTGAGATGGAAACAGCAATGAAAAAAGCCAACATGAAGCAAGTGTTGGAGGCCATGGCAAAGGACTTAATTTGCTTTGTGATAAACAAGTGATAGATTAGAGACTTTTGCTTTGAGCTTGTGTGCATATTCCATATATGGTAGTGTCAGGCTTTTTATACAAAATGATTGCAACCCTTTGTGTTTGCCAACCTTCCTTAGACAGCCCAATATGTTGGTGGTGGTGGTTGGCTTGTAAAACATTGGGATTCAAAAGTAGGACATCCAACTTGTGGGTTTGGTAGTCCAACATTCTGATCGTTTAGAAAAAAAGAATGTTAGAATTTGTTTATGAACTGAATATCAGATGATACTGTTAGTGTAGAACACATGTAAGTTTTGTTCAAAAACATCTACTCCTATAAATGTGACTAAATAACATGTGTTTAGACATTAATATATCAACTCATATTCGATCAATAAACAAATTTCTATATTCATTTTTTTAATATATATATATATATATATATATTTTAACATGTATAAATTAATTTTAACACATGGGGTAAACATTTTTTTTCTTATAAGTATTCACAAAGTTTATCCGAATAAAATATATGTTAAATTAGTTCTAAGAAATATTTTTTTAAGTAAAATAGTCTGTGATTTAGCATATTTTATGAAACTGATAACTCACATGTAATATTAATTCATATAAGATTTAAATATTTTTTTTTTGTTTTTGAAATTTTAATCTTTATTTAATTTGATCTCATATTTAATCCTTATAAATTATAAAAATCTTCCTCTCGGGATAGATAGTGGAATTTGAGGAATTAAAAACTGCATTATTATTTTTGTTAAATATAAGGATTAAAAATAAAAAATGAAATAAGAATTAAAATATAAAAAACACTCTATTTTTAAGAAACAAAAATATATTTAAATCTTTATATTTATAAGGATAACATTATTATGAATTATACAGTGGAGTTTACCAGCTTCTATATAATCTTATTTGTGATAAGCATTATTTAAGTTTCATTACTGGTGGCTTAAATATCTTAAGATCGAAAGCAATCTTCTCAATATACAATTCATTAGAAAAAATAAATAAATAAATAAACATCTAACCTGAAGACTCATGGCATGAGATGTAACCTTTGAAGGTTAATTCTTGATTTAAAAAATAAAAATAAAAAGGTTATGTTAATTTGTAAAAACTGTGTTTTTTCTACGGAAAACAATGAATCAGAAATAACTTGTCCCATGTATGGCGGATTCATAAAATCCTGGGATTAAAATTATTCATCATCTTGCTTTACAGAGAAGTGGCCTATGCTGAGGATGCTGAAATTGCCTGAACGTTTTAATTAAAATGCATGTGTTTTCATCGTATGGAACCTGAACTGCTCTTTAGTTTGAACTTCAAAGTGTAAATGCTACTTTTGATCCTCTAAAGAAACAGGTAACATCATCTGATTCTGAGTCTTCCATTTACTATTAATACACAAAATTAGCATCAAATTGTTCCTTGAAAGACAAAACTGATAGCATTAATTAGTTTTGAGGATCGATATAGACATTGAATTTTAGTTGGAATTTTTTTATTAATTTTTTTAATTCATATTTTAGTTGGAATTTGGAAAGAATGTTAACAATTACAAGCCATAATGACAATCAATATTAAATAATTCCTGCATGATCTGTAGATGATGAATGAATCCTAAAACACTAACATGTCTAAAGAGAAAACCGATGAAGCTAAAAACAATATGCCATTGCTTAATTTGGGTCATATTGGAAGAAACTTCTGCCTCCATTATCAAGGTATTCAGAAATTCAAGATTTGTATCACATAAAGAAATTCAAGGTTGTACATTAAACTAGAAGATAAGAAGTCTGATACATTACAGATCATAATAAATGATATGATGTAGTGAAACATACTGAAATAACATACAAACTGAACATAACATGTAATTGAATGACACATAAAGTACAAACTAAGCCCCAACAGAACCATCCTCGGATGGTAACAACAAATCATAAACAATACATTTTTAGGAAGTAGCAGTACAAGTTACTAGAGCAAAATAAGTAGCAGTGACTGAATAGAATTCATGAACTCCAGGTACTTATGGGATTCTTGCCACGTTATTAACTTTAAGCTTGGGAATTGGTACGTTAGGAATTGGTACGTTAGGAATTGGTAAGTTAGGAAGTGGTACATTAGGAAGTGGTACACTAGGAAGTGGTAAGTCAGGGAGAGGAACTGCAGGGAGTGGAACAGGCAAACTTGGCAATGGTGGCAGTGGCAGTGGCAGTGGAAGAGTAGGTAGTGGAGGTAAGTCAACTTTGGAAACTTGGTGTACTTTTGCGGATTTTGGCAGGATACGTGCCTCTGCAACACTTGTGTCACTGATCATGGATGAAAATGTTAGAAGCAGAAGTGGTAAAATGAATGTGAAACTGCTAGAACCCATTGTTGGAGCTAACAAATGACAAGAGATTCCTTAATCAATAGTATATGCAGAATGGCTTGAGGTAGTGGCCTTGAGATGTTGTACGTTGCCTTTTATAGACTAGATGGGGAATCCTGTGACAGATGGATAGGTATTGAGGACAAGTTATGGCTTGTGTGTATGAATGTTTGCAAAATTATTTTGGAATGAAATTGATTTTGGCACCAAGTAATTTATGTTTGTAAGTTTTTTCTCTAAAAATAAGTTAATAGTATAATAATAGTGGTAGAAATTGGAGAAATATGCCTCAGGTTCTAGGTTCAAACCTTGTTTCATGTGAGCATTTGCTTATATTCCTATTAACTAGTAATTCAGCACGAGTTTAGATGATCCAATGTGAATCCACAAACATTTCAACACAATAACTAAAATGAAAAGTAGCATGTCGAATGTCAATGATACCAGACATTACAATATTTAAAACTTGATGCATGTTTGATAATTTTAAAATTTAAAGAAATAGTAGCTTTTCTTTTAAGAGAACATAGCAAAAACAAAACATTACTTTTTGTAATAAACTTCACTAAACACACTCAGTGTGTTTGGTTACGATGATTTAGCAACTACCGTATAACAGAGTCAATTCACATCCGACACAAATTGTAGCTTCCAAAATTCACGTAAAGACTTAGGTTAGAGGGTGCAAACCTGAACCCAGCATGCTGTTAAACTTTCTTCTTCTTTTCTACATTTTTTTTTTTTAATTTGCTTACTTTACATATAATGATAAGTTTGGTTTACTTGAGCTGTGTTTATGAGTTGTTGTAACTCTTCAATACTAAGTTCAATTCCTATAAAATAAAAGAACTCTTTTTTCTTAATTTTCACTCAGGAGATACATATATTTTTCTCAAGAGTATGATATTGTATTGTTGATGGGTATTGGTAATATATTGTTGTGGTTTTGTTTTTTATCATTACCTAAAAAACTTTTACATGTGCATATTTTATAAATTCTTATTTCTTTTCTTGTTCTAATAATGTGGAGTGAGACTTAACTAGTTAAATTTTTTACGTATATAAAAAAAATGTTTACACTGGAAGTGTGGGCACTTGACTTGAGTGGAGGAGGAGAAGTGACTTGTGGAGGATGAACCTGTACCGAACAACAACAAACTTGGACCAGTAGCTATTGAGATAAGAACTCGATGGTTCTAGCGTTTGTTTTACCAGAAGATAAAATGCAACATTTTGTCATATTGGAGGGTCAAATCCACGTAATGAGGCTGGCACATGTAATAAACCAAAAGAACGTGGTAGAGTATTAGAGTAGGTTGTCCCTTTATGGATAACTTGTGGCTTTGAAGAAGTTATCATGATAATATTTAAAACTCGGACAGAACCACATGCACATCAGCCTGTCTGGTTCTTCTCTAGCTGTAAACAGCTAGATTCGTTAACCGGATATGTTTCTTTTGAATTACTTATAATCTTATATATGACATATGTGATGAAAAGTCTTAATTATTTCAAGGAATTTCATGTTTTCCATGAAAATAATTGGTAGTTTAGTACATTTTATGAAACTATGAGACATGTAAAATTAGTTCATGTAATGTTATTCCTATTAATTATACCATTGCAGTTTATCGACTGTCATTACAAAAATAATTTTACTTTTTGAGATAAATATTATTGATTTGATTTCCATCACTAATGTTGACTATGTCCAAAACAAATATTTCAATGTACCAGTCATTATTAGAAGTAATAAATTTCAATACTCAATTTTTGTATTTTGTAGCTAAGATGCAACATTAGCTTGTATTAGTAACACTTGTGCATTTTAATAAAAGCAGAGGTAACTTGTTCAAAGTGCGGGTTCTTAAATGCCGGAACAAGAAGTGTTCATCATCTTGCTGTACATGCGAGTGACCTGTACTTGGGAGAATGAAATTCTAGTAGTTTTTTTTAATTGGAATACATGCATACAGTATCCTGCATCTAGAACTTCAACCATTCTTTAGTTTTAAATAATGCACACAAATGGAATTCAATTTCAAGCTATGATAGCAATGTATGCATATAATTCCTCTATGGTGTATAAATAATGAACAAATCCTACAACTCTTGAGAAAATACTATAGATGAAGAAACTATCGTACGCCATTTCCATAGCTTAATTTAGCTATATTGGAAGGAATTTCTGCATTCATAATTACAGTATTCAGAAATTCAAGATTTTACTGAACTGGAAATATGAAAGTATTAAGTATGATATAATATTGAATACAATGAATATGCTGCAGAAAATCTGACTCGAACAACCTAAAAAATTGATAGTATTATTTAATTAATATTATACATAATGTACAAATGAAACCTCGATAAAGTCACAGTCACCCTATAATGGCAACAAGTTATAAATAATAAACAGGTTAAACAATACAAGTTACTAGAGCAAAAGAATTGTTTAAGGAATAGGTGGTGATTAGGATTTTCAGGAACTTAGGCACTTACGGCTTTGTCACAGATAGCATGTAACTCTGGGGCAGGAATCTTAGGTACTAAAGCAGATTTGGTATTGCAGGGAATTCTGACTTCTTCAGTGATGGAAGCTCAACCTACACTTCTGGGAATGGAATAGCAGGTAACTTAGGCAGTGACAGATCAACCTTGGTAAGTTGGGAAAGCTTGTACAATTGGAAATGGCCAAAATTGATTGCATTAGGATAGTACCTCTGCAAACCTTGCGTGATCAGCCATTGTTGAAAAAGTAAGAAGCAGAAAATACCATCTCTATGGAACTTTTATATTTTCCTGTTTGGGTATGAAGCAAAGAATAATCAAGCATTCTAATCTTGGAGAAAATTCCAATAGAATGGGGAGTCTTTTCCTCGTTTACGAGTGATTAGATTAAAAACCCACAATTTTTTTTAGGATCTAACATGTTACAGCAAGATAATTGATTAATATAATAAAATAAATAATAATAAGTTAGTTATAGGTTCAAGTCAAAAAGATTGTATATTTGTATCTGTTCTTGCCTGAGATCGGTGAGTGAGACGATCTCTGGGTAAGATCGATGAGCCTCCTTTGCTTGGTACGTCTGCTACTCCGAGATGGGGTTGGTACCTGTAAAAGAGACTCTAATGCTTAAGTTAGTTTATGATCGTATGAGTCTCTTATATATAATGCACGTACCTTGATATGTGATTAGGGTTTCCTCTTGGACGAGGGTAAGATAGATTTAGGTCTGAGATTGGTCGTGGCCCAATAGGCATTGGGCCCTTGTTTTGATCGATGTCATGTGGCGCTTATCCGAGATGGTGCGGCGCTGGGACACCGAGCTTGAGCTCGGTGTCCGACGTGGATAGTACACTAGTCTCCCGAGCTCTGAAGATCTCGAATCGAAGAGTTAATTGCCGAGTATGTGGGGGGTCGTGACCTTTCATTTCTATTTTTTGGGTGAAATGTCGCGTGTCATGAGGCGTTGCCTCGTTTCTCGAAACGTCAGGGCGGCTTGTAATAAGGGGTGGCGACTTATAATGATGGGATGCACCCTGTCATTATGAGCCCCATTAATGCCCTGTCCCTTTTGTCGTTTTCCACTTTTTTTCTAAAACAGTTGGTCTCTCTCTCCTTCGCGCATTCGCGCCTTTACACATTCAGCTTCCCCTTTACGCTTAGTCCCTCCTCTGCACATTTCTCTTCTTCGTTTTCCCTCACCGTCGCCGTTTTCGGTAATCACAGTCACCGTTCTTCGTCGTTGTCTTGTCGTTGTTGAAGGAGTACCAGGTACTTCTCCTCCTTTGTCTTCCTCTTCCCTTTCTGTTAGTGTGGCTGTGAGTAATGGCTGGTGAGGGTTTTGTTCCTCCCAAGGCCGCTGTTGGGCGGACCAAGGGGAAAGGCAAGGCGAAAGCGGTCACCACTGACGGCGACCCTCAGAAAAAGAGGGGGGGTAATAACCCCAAAGACTCGCACCCCGCCATCTCCGTCCCCGGGTATGAGTGGGTTAGGGGGACGTTGGGGAGTTTGAAAGTGGGTTTAGGTCTTTTCTTAATGTGAATGCGATGTGGAAATCGCTGAGAAACTGCAAGCCGACTATTTCTAAGCTTATCCGGGTTGAGCCCTGCCAACCCGGTGAGCGTGTGTACATGGCGGGTACTCCGAGTACCCCCTTCTTCTACATGTATCTGTGCTTCTTTAGGGATCTTGGTGTATGTTTGCCGTTCACCGAGTTCGAATGTGCTTTTCTGAAGTTTGTCAACGTGGCTCCTTACCAATTGCACCCCAACAGTTGGGGATTCTTAAGGGCATTCCAAGTTTTGTGCTCGGCCCTGGGGCGTCCTTGCCCCTTTTTTTACATTTCTACCAACTCAAGTTGGGCGAGCCTCCCTTGGATTGGGTATCCCTCAGTGGGAGTAAGGCTAGGGGGTTGTTCCAGCTTTACTCCCAATCCTACAAAAATTTTAAAAATGAATTTTTTCGGGTCTGACCTGTCGAGGCCGACCCGAGGATTGATGAAGTTTTCCACCTTGAGGGGGAGCCGAGGTTTCCTCTATTTTGGCAGCGAAGCCCGGTCATGTTTAACGGGTCGTGTAGCCTCCAATTGTCGGATTTCGACAAAGACGACATCGCAAATTTGGCCGAGCTTCCGCGCCCCTTGGACAGCAAGCTCGTCCTCTCCTTAGCTAATCTGGCGAATAAGGAAAGGGGTTTGGAGAGTGAGTACTGCATTGCTTTGCTTATTAAATTTTGTGTGCCCTTGTTCGCATTCTGAAGTGTTATGGTATTTGCGTTTGCAGGTTTGATGGGGAAAAGCAATTAGCGCGAGTTGAAGGTGAAGTTCAACATCGAGGAGCTCGAGGTGCCCGAGCCTGGTGAGGAGGTTGCCCCGTTGGAAACTCGGCATAAGAGGAAAAGGCACAGAAGGAGGTCGGCGAAGCTTCGGGCACCCCCATCCTTGAGGAGGTGACGTCCAAAGCCACCGACGCCACCCCCATAGACTTGACCGAGAGTCCTCGGTCTGAGACATCATCGAGGGAGCCTGTGGTGGAGGCTACCCCGGAGGGACAGGTTCTTGCTTCACTTCTCCTTAGTATTATCCTTCTTGCTTTGGTGTGTTACTCTTATGCTTGTAACTTAGAAACTTATTTTGATTTTCTTGTAAGGAGGTCCGATGCCTTCCTCTGTCAAGGCTCGCGGGGAAGGGCTAAGTTCTGAGATGCCGAGATCGGCCCCTTTCGCCACTGCGCCTCCTCCTCCAGGTGCTCCGAGAGCGAGGTGCATCATGCAGCGCTTCGATGTCAGTCGTCGGATGTCAAGGCTGTATCACGTAAGTGTATCACCAGACGTGACATCGTTGTGGAGTTCAAGCGTAACTGCTGAGGCATTTTTAAAGAGGATCCGGCCTTTGTCACTGACAAGGCGATGATAGAAAAGGTTGGCCCGATTGAAGGCCTTGATTCTGCGGATGTATTCATGCAAAGGTCCATTGCCATAGTGGACCACTGGAGGCGCAAGTGGCCGAGGCTTCAGGACGAGCTAGAGAAGGCGAAGAAAAATGAAGCCGAGCTTCAAGCCCTGAGGAGAGATCTTTCAAAGACTCATAAGTCTTTGGAGATTGCCTTGAAGGCCAACGAGGCATATGCCACCGAGGTTGGTGGTTTGCAAGAGGTTGCTAAGTCTTGCAAGGCCGAGACGGAAGCTTCGCGGGGCCGGGTTCTGGCCTTGGAGGAGGAGAACGCGACGTTGAGGGCCGATCTGAGGGAGACTGCCGAGAAGCGTCTTTGCGACGAGGTGCTTCTGGTTGGTAGGCCCTGAAGGCGGATCTCGATGTGATGGCCGCAGAGAAGAAGAGTTTGGAGAAGAGGCTCGTCGAGACCGAGCGGGCGTTGTGGTGGAGTATCGCCGAGGTTTCGCCAAGCTAGGCTTCTAGCGGGGGAGGTTGACCTTTCTGCCATGCACATTGATAAAGATGTGCGAGGTGGGCAATTGGTTAACTAGGATGACCTGTCCGAGAGCGCCAACGAGGATACTGCTGCCTGAGCCTTTATTTTTCTTGTCGTTTTTTGTAATAGACTCAGTTTATTTTGCTTGCGTTGAGCAGCGTGTTGAACTCATTACTTTGTGAATGAATGAATTTGCTATATATATTGCTTTTCTCACTGTTGTTTGAAAACGAGTTTAAGTATTTGAGGTTCAAACTTGACCTTTTTTCGTCGTGGCCCGTGTTTGGCCTTAAGGTTCAAACTTGTCCATTAACATAATTTGCGCAAAAGGTCGAATTCGACCTTGATTTAATATGACTCGTGCCAAGGTTCGAATTCGACCTTGGCTTAATATGATTCGTGCCAAGGTTCGAATTCGACCTTGGCTTAACATGAATCGTGTCAAGGTTCGAGTTCGACCTTGACTTAATATGAATCGTGCCAAGGTTTGACCTTGGCTTAATATGAATCATGCGAAGGTTCGAATTCGACCTTGGCTTAATATGAATCGTGCCAAGGTTCAAATTCGACCTTGGCTTAATATGAATCGTACGAAGGTTCAAATTCGACCTTGACTTAATGTAACTCGTGCCAAGGTCCGAATTCAACCTTGGCTTAATATAAATCGTGCTAGACAGCGAGATATTGAGGAAATATGAGTAAAGTGAGTCATTTTTATTGATGTTGTGGTGTGCCTCGTTAAAAACCCTCTCAACCAAAACTCATTTTTCTATTTTTTGGGAAAAAAGACTGGGTAGGGAAAAGAGTCCAATAACCCATTTGTATACTTCAACTAAAATAAAACTTGAGGTGAGTGGCATTCCAAGTTCTTGGGATGGTTTTGCCGCTGAGTTCCTCTAGTCGGTATGCTCCACTTCCCAGGTCGTGGTCACTCGGAACGGACCATCCCAATTAGGTGAGTTTTCCTTCTGATGGGTCACTTCTTGCTTCGCCTTGTAGTTTCCACACTAGGTCTCCAACCCAGAAAGAGCGAGGTCAGACTCGCGTGTTGTATCTTTTGGAGGCTCAGAGTTTGCAAGCTTCCTTTTGAATCCGAGCTTCCTCTCTGAGCTCGTCTATTAGGTCGAGGTTGGCTGTTGTTTCTTGAGTGTTTTGCTCAGTGTCAAAGGTGTGACGCCGATGGGACGCTCGCCGACCTCTACTGGGATCATGACGTCGGCTCCGTAGGTCAGCTTGTAAGGAGTTTCTTGAGTCGTGGATTGGGAGGTGCAATGATATGCCCAGAGAATGTTGGAGAGCTCGTTAGCCCACTGTCCTTTGACATTTCCTAGCCGCTTTTTGAGTTCTCGGAGTATAACCTTGTTTGTGGCTTCGGCTTGGTCGTTGGTTTGGGAATGTTCCACCGAGGTGGGGAGGTGTTTGATGCCGAGCTCTTGGAGGAAACTCTCGAAGCTCTGTGCGGTGAACTGCCTGTCGTTATCGGTGATGAGGGAGTATGGGATACCGCACCTGCAAATGATGTTCTTCCAGGTGAATTTTTGCACGTTTTCGGGGGTGATTTTCGCAAGTGGGCAGGCCTTGATTCACTTGGTGAAGTAGTCGACTGCCACAAGGAGGAATTTGAGTTGACCTTTCACGGGAGAAAACAGTCTGAGGATGTCCATTTTCCACTGGGAAAAGGGCCATGGGAACGCTATTTTGTGTAGGACTTCGGGTGATTGCCGATGTGTGTTGCACCTTTGTACGTAATCTTTGCAATCTGACTTCAGCTTGGGCCAGTAGTATCCAGCTCGGAGCACCCAAGTTGCCATCAAGCGTGCCCCGGAGTGCATACCGCATCTTCCTCGATGGATCTCTTCGATGATGTAGGTGGCTTGGGACTTGGTTAGGCATTTTAGCAGGGGAGCCGAGATTTCTCATTTGAAGAGTTCGTCCCTAATGACGAAAAATTTAGATGACCTTACCCTCACCTTCCGAGCTTCATCTTTGTCCTCGGGTAGTGTCCCCTCCTTTAAGTAGTTCCATATATCTGTCATCCATCCCTTGTCTTTGGTATCGCTAGTATTGACGACTTTATCGTCTAGGCTGGGAGAGTTGAGGGTCTCTTGGATAATGGTCCGATGTTGCCCGGGGCGCTTTGTGTTAGCAAGCTTGGACAGGAGGTCGGCCTTGACATTATACTCTCGGGGTACATGATGTATGGTAAACTCCTCAAAGGATGAGATCCGTTGGGATACTGCATGAAAGTACCTTTGTAGTAGAGCGTCCTTGGTTTGGTATGTCCCACTGAACTGTTCTACCATGAGTTTTGAGTCACTGTTGCAACTCACCATTTGTGCTCCGATGTCGTGAGCCAACCTCAGTCCTGCTAGTAGTGCTTTGTATTCTGCTTGGTTGTTGGTGATTCTAAACCCGAATTTAAGATATTGTTTTATGGTGACATTGTTGGGTCCTTCTAAAATGATACATGCACCACCACCTTTAGTGTTGCAAGATCCATCAACATATAGAGTTCATACCTACTTTTCTTTTACTAAGGTTGGGGTGAGTTCGACCACAAAATCTGCCAGGTATTGGGCTTTCAAAGGGCCTCGATTTTCATATTGGATGCCGAACTCGGATAGCTCTACGGACCACGCAATCATGCGTCTTGCGAGTTCTGGCTTTCTCAGCATTTGCTTGATTGGGTAGTCCGTTTTGACGACGATTTGGTGGCTTTGGAAATAAGGCCGAAGACATCGGGCCGAGGTGACCAATGACAAGGCCATCTTCTCAATCGTTTGGTACCTCTTCTTTGTGTCTTGGAGAACTCGGCTGATGTAGTATATAGGAATTTGGTTCTTGTTGCGCTCTTGCACCATCACCGCGCTGATTGCACTTTCGCCAACTGCCAAGTATAGGAGGAGGTCAAAATGATGATCCGGCCTCTGTAGGACTGGTGGGGTGGCGAGGAAAATTTTGAAGCTTTTGAAAGCTTCTTCACATTGGTCAGTCCACTCAATTTTTTGGCTTGCGAAGTAGGGTAAAGATAGGTCCTGCTTTCCCTGCCAACCTGGGAATGAACCGAGAAAGAGAGACTAATCTTCCTGCCAAGCGTTGGACGTCCTTGACAATGTGGGGCTATGCATATGTATGATGGCCTTGCACTTTTCTAGGTTGGCTTCAATACCTTTATGAGTGATCATGAAGCCGAGGAACTTGCCTCCCTGAACTCCGAAGACGCACTTTTCGGGGTTTAAGCGCATGTTGTGCTTCCGTATTTGGTTAAATACTTCAGCTAGGTCAGCAACATGGACATCGGCCGATGTGGTCTTCACGACCATGTCATCTACGTAGACTTCCATGTTTCGTCCAATCTGCTGGTGGAAGACCTTGTCCATCAGCCTTTAATAAGTAGCTCCCGTGTTTTTGAGGCCGAACGGCATCACGCGATAGCAGAAATTGGCGTGGTCATTGATGAACAACGTGTGCTCTTCGTCCGGTGGGTACATCATGATCGGATTGTATCAGAGTATGCGTCCAGAAAGCTGAGGAGGGCGTGACCGGATGCTCCATCAACCAACTTGTCAATGCTTGGTAGGGGGTAGGCATCTTTAGGGCAAGCCTTGTTCAGGTCGGTGTAGTCGACGCACATACACCACTTCCCTGAGTTCTTTTTAACGAGCACCACATTGGCTAGCCACGTAGTGTATCAAACTTTGCGAATGAATCCTGCTCTTATTAGCTTTTGTGTCCAACTATGATGGCTTCTCGTCTTTCGCCACCAACCTTTCGTTTCCTCTGGGCCACCGATTTCGTCTCTTTGTAGATGGCCAATCTGTGACAGATAAGGTTAGGGTCTATACCTGGCATGTCAGCGCTGGATCATGCAAAGAGGTCGGCGTTTTTGGAAATTTCGGCTACAAGTTGTTGCCTCAACTCTGTGCTCAAATGTTGGCTTATTTTGGTGCATTGGCCAGGGAGTTTTCCGATTTACAGATCAGCAAGCTCGTCAATTGGACTTGGTCGGTTGTCATGAGATTCCGACCTCGGATCCAGGTCAGTGATGTCATCTTGAGTGATGTGAGCGATGGTGGGGGAGTTATCTCGGCGTTGCTCCTCTGCTGGGGATGATGCCTTTAAACTTTCAGCATAGCATTGCCGAGCTATTCTTTGGTTTGCCTTGACCGAAATTATCTGGTCGTTACCCCCTGGGAACTTCATCGTCAGATGTAGGGTAGACACTACAGCTCCAAGTTGATTTAAAGTCGGCCTTCATATGATGATGTTGTATGATGTGTTAGCATCGACGAGGAGATATTTGACCATGGTTCTTTTTGAGTTGGGAGGTGTCCTAAAGGTTGTTAGCAGTTCTATGTATTCCCGGGTGTGGACTCGTTTTCCTGCAAAACCGACTAGGACTTTTGTGTGAGGTTGAATAAGGGAGTAAGGGATGTCTAACCTTAGGAATGTCGGCCAGTATAAGATGTCAGCCAAGCTTCCCTGGTCGATTAGTGTCTTGTGGACCTCCTAGTTGGCTACCTCCACCGCAATGACCATGGGGTCGTCTTGATTGGGACAGACACTGACGTAGTCGTCGTCTGTGAAAGTGATGGGCGGCATGTTGTGTTTAGGAGCCGAGGCTTCTGCATAGACATTGTTGATGCTTTGCAAGTGTCTCTTGCGTGCCGAGCTGCTTGAGCCACCTCCTGCAAATCCACCTGTAATTGTATTGATAACCCCCCGCAAGGGAGTCGTACCCGTGTCATGGCTTACCTCGACCTGCACAGCACCGCCAATTTTTTGCTAAGATCTGGATGGTTGGTCTGCTTGAGTGTCGGAGCCTCGGCCTCGTCCTCGTCCTCGTCCATGGTAGCCTCCCCTGTTAGATTGGGACCGTTGGACGTATTGTCCGAGGTGTCCCCCTTGGACGATTTCCTCGATGCGGTCCTTGAGTGTGCGGCATTCCTCGATGACCATAATTTCTATGGTATCGGCAATGTTTGGATTTGTCCGCATTACTGGGGCTGCGCCCGGGTGGAGGCAGGGTGATGAGGTCGGTGTTACTGGCCTCCTCCAGTATGTGGACTCGGGGTGCATTCAAAGGGGTGTAGAAGTCGTACTTCCCGCCCTTGTTCGGCCTAGTCTTTTTGAATTGACTGTCATTGGAGACCCGCATCTTGTCTTTGTGGCCATGGTCTTGCTTCCCTTGTGGTTTCCCATGGACTTGGTCACGGAATGTCGTGTGTCCTTCCATCTAAATGTACCTGACAGCTCGGGCACGGAGTTCGTCCATGTCCGGGGGAGGCCGTCGACAAAGGCTATCGACGAAGGGACCTGGCTTGAGTGCCATGAGCATGGCGTGTAGGGCGATCTCGGGGTTCATGTTGCAAATTTGGATGGAGATGTTGGCAAATCGCTCCATGAATTTCTTCAGTGGTTCGTCGTTGCCCTGTCTGAGGTTGGCCAAGGCGTCAGACGTGACGTGATGTGGTCGACTCGTTGCGTACTGCGCCGTGAATTGCCGTACCAAAGTGTCGAAGCTATCGACTGACCCCGCTGGCAATTGAGTATACCAGGCGAGTGTCAATCCCTTGAGCGAGGATGGAACAACCCTACACAAAATAGCATCATCATTAGTGTATAAGTTCACTTGTATGACGTACAGATCGACGTGCTCATCTGGGTTGGTGGTGCCATCGTAGCAGTCGATGTTAGGGGCTTCCATCCAAAAGGGAGAGGTGTCTCCATGATGCCGTCGACAAAGGGGTGACGGCGGATGCTCGCCCTGTGTCCTGGAGCCTGGATCGGTGCGTTGCTGACTACATGGTCTGATCGATACGTTGGTACGTTTGACCGAAGTAGACCTATGGGTCATCACCCTAGGCGCAGTCGGTGGCGGGGAAATCGAGTGCCCTTCTTCCTTGTTTTGATTGCTTGGTTGAGGGGGCTAATATGGGGGGCGCTGAGGAAGCTGGGCGCGGATGCGCTCGTTCTCAGCTTGTAGCACCGCTAGATTGGCCTCGTGCTGGGCGCGCATGCTCTCCAGGTCAGCGGTGTGTTGTTGTCGCATTTGATCGACTTGCTCGATCAGCCGTCTCAATGTTGCTTCTCCTTCCATTCTTGTTGCGTTATCTTGTTCGTCTGTTGCTCGTCTATTATGGCTTCAGGTAAAAATCATAAGCGTGGTCGATAAGAAACTTCTTGATCGGCCCCACGGTGGGCGCCAAATGTTCTTACCTGAGATCGATGAGTGAGATGATCTTTGGTAAGATCGGTGAGCCTCCTCTGCTTGGTATGTCTGCTACTCCGAGATGGGGTTGGTACCTGCAAAAGAGACTCCAATGCATAAGTTAGTTTATGATCGTATGAGTGTCTCTTATATATAATGCACATACCTTGATATGTGATTAGGGTTTCCTCTTGGGCGAGGGTAAGATAGATTTGGGCTTGAGATTGGTCGTGGCCCAATAGGCATTGGGCCCTTGTTTTGACCGATGTCATGTGGCGCCTATCCGAGATGGTGCAGCGCTAGGACACCGAGCTTGAGCTCGGTGTCCGACGTGGATAGTACAATATCGACTTTAATAATTCTGTTATCCTAAGCTTATAGAACATGCATATGTCTGCACATGAGCATGTCTCGTATTGGATATAAACATGAGTGTTAAATAAAAACAAAGCTAAAATGAAAAAAAAAAATTGGAATGAATTAACTTGAGAAGCTTCCGGAAGAATTTATGTTTTGCTTACCATGTCATAATTGCATGCATGTAACATTTTTTTCCACTACACTGAAATCCATTCACTATATTTTTCATATGAAGTATTTAAGGCATGCATCAAGCAGCACCAATATTGGAGTTCAGAGTCATCATCATCGTGTGTTTCACAACATACTACCCATCTCCCCCTTTGCCTAACCTATTTTGACCAGCCGAACTCAATGAACTTCATGAAACCAAGTTCCTTTCCCTAATTTTTTCAAAGGCTTCCCCAATTTAAAAAAAAAAAAAAAAGAATCACAGCAACTTACATAAAGTCTTCAAGGCTGCTGCTTATGATTTATGACTTTGGTTTGTGTCTGTAGTTTTCACATTTCATTTTGAAATGAATTTTGCAGAGGCTTAGTCACCTTAGTGGAGGAACCCTCATTTGGCAGATAAGAATTTTATTTTCCCTGCTAGAATCAGTAGAATATAAAAAAAAAAAAAAAAAAAATCATCAAGGCCATAGTACATTATGACCCTTTTTTTCTTTCAGAAAGCAACAATACAACAGGGTTTATTCAATTCAATCCATTTAAATATCTTATAAATTGTACAAAAATGCATAACTCAGCCCATGCTTTTAAATCCTACCAAATCTTGGAAAAACAATACGATGCATTACACAGGAAAATAAAAGTAAACTTCAACACCAAAATATTTTGTTTTTGGCAGCAATTCTGCCATTTTCCTCCAATTTGGTTCCCCGGTAATCCAATGTCCATTTCTCAAATGAACAGTCTATAAAGTCGTAGTAACCACCATGAATGGAGAGTTTTTCATTTGCCACCTTCTCTTCTATCCATGGGTAAGAAAGTAGGTTTATTAAGGAATGGTTAATGGATTCCTGCACAAAGAAACACTTGAAGCATTAAAACTTAAAAGTATTCAACGTAATCAACTTTTTTTATTATGGATTGATCATATCGATTAATAAGGAGCGGAAAATGAGAGCAACGGAGACACTCGATAAAAACCCCAAGAACACAGTATTCAAAAGGAAATACTCATTTTTTTAGGGATACAAATCCTATTTTCATTAGGGAAAAATATGATGGTGTTTGAATTCTCAACATGAGCTCATGTTAAGGAATTAGGACAATCAGAATATAGGGGAGAGGTTGATGAATGATGAGATTCATCAGGGCACTAATCTTGACTGATTTCATTCCTACAAAGCTTTGGAACCCAATACAGGACTTAATGTACACCTCCAAGTAGCCAATCCCCAATTATCCAATAATATAAAATATTTTTAGCCAAAAATACCAAAACTGAGGATTAACAACATGTGTATATATATATTCACCAAAATCACATTAGGAGAAACTGCAGATAAGGCTTCAAGATTTCTTCTGTCAAAATACTAGTGCCTACCCTGCCCCCTTTCCCAAAAGAGAATCTGGGGCTGCCAATTCCAAACACCTTAAACCATCTTGAACTATTTGGAGACAGATCTTAAACATTTTGAAATTTCAACAGCCAAATTACACATTCAAAATAAGAACAAAAATATATCACCTTCTCACAATGTGTGCACTGCTGATCGAAGCTGAGGTTAGAAGCAGCAGCCTTGGCTTTTACTCTTGCATTTTTCCCAACAACAACCCAACTTTTTATAAAACTACCAGGAAATAATATATTTTTGCAAGTTAGGAATGTATATAACATTTTTATCAACGAAAGCAAAAAGGACAACCAACATCTAGAATTAAGCACCTGTTTTCAACGTTTTCATCATCATTATCTTGCATACTCATCAAGGCACGTATGCCTCCACAGCAGCTGTGGCCAATGACTAAGATATTCTCAACCTGCAATGAAAATAATTTAGTCTCTCCTTGAAAATAAGTACAAATCTTACAGTTTCTGGACCAGTAATTTATAAAGCTATTATAATCTTATGCACTCGAATAATCTACAGATATTTCTTGTAAGTCCCCGGTATTAGAAGCCATGTCTTATGATGATATGTTATAGGTTGATTTCACTTGAGCCCAAGCTCAACAAGCATTTTGCAACCAACCAAACAATGCTGCTATAAACTTCAAAGAAAAAAAAGGAAAAAAAACAACCTTGTATTCCTTCTGCTAAATTTCCAATATCCACATCTTTAAATTCAAACTTTCCAAGTTTCCATAGAAGTTGTAGACTTGTAGTTATCATAAGATCATTCATTATTTTAACCAAAATCATTTTGTTTTGTACTTTAAATAACCAAATAATCACCCAAAAGAAAATGAGCATAAGTAAATAGATGATGGATAAACAAACAGAAGCATCAAAAGTTTTCAAATCAATAAGATAAATCCTGACTTGCACTACTCGAGTAAAAAACATGCTTACCAGAAGGGTGTTCACAGCAAATTCTAGAGCAGCATTTGTTTCTGAGGGTCCACTCTGTATCAGGAAAAAAGGAATAAGAAAAAACAAGTAGGGTATCTCTTTCATTCATACTTTAGCAATTATAATGATCTGGTAAACATAGGGATAACCATAGCAATAGCAGTGAGAGACTCGTACCTCAAAGGGAGGAACCAAATTAGCAACATTGCGAATCACGAATGCATCTCCAGGTTGAAATCCTAAAATATTAGATGGGCATACCCTAGAATCTGCACAAGCAATAACCATGAACTGTCCTGGGAATTGTTAGTAAAGAATACTTATTTGTTAATGCTTCAGTAGACAACTTGAAGAAATGAACTGAAAGGAATAAGAAATAAACAACAAAAGATGAAATAATAAACAAAAGGCTTGGTCAAAAGGGTGGGTGGGTAATGGAGAGGAAGATAAAGAACAACTACCTTTGGTGCTTGAGCCTTTGCAAGATTTTCAAACTGTTCAATATTTTTCCTGCCCCAAAACAAAGTCAGCATTAAATAAGCTTCTCCCTATTAGGCATCAAAAATGATTCAAATGAACATCTTTAACAAGGGCTTTTCTGAAACTTACAAGTATTTATTCTTTTTGAAACTTAAAAACCTATCCTTCAGATCATTAAATATATCACAGTCATCTTCTGCTTCAGTTAAAGTCTCTAGCTTCTTGTTATTAAGTTTCTCTGTAAATCCTGAAGGCCCCATTGAAGCTTTTAAAGTGAAACCTTGATTTCTCCTGCAAACATGAGAGCAAGTTATAAAAGCCTTGTGAAACCAAAAAAGAAAAGAGCCTCAACGGATTTCATAAAAATAAGAATAATTCAATTAATTAACTGTTCTTATATCTAAGAACTAACTGCAAAAACTGTAATCTAGCCACGCAAACAGTAGAACCGATCCAGACAGTTTACAAAGAAAGAAAATTACAGCAGCAGACTCATTTATAGGAAGGGAATTAAAAGATTTGGAGTTATCAAACGAGAGAAGATTGCAATATCAATTTGCAATCAAGCAAAAGGAATCCCAAATCAGCTTGGGATCAGAACACTCAGTTTCCTCTATTAAATACGCCTTTTACTCAATGTTTAGGGGATATTCAAGACTCATAACAATTTCCATCTATCTTTGGTAGATCAATATTTACAAACCAATTACGAAACTTAGAAACAAAGTAAAGATTGGATCTTGGAAGTTTTCAGATAATTACACTAGCAAGAAATGAACAGCCCAGAAATGAATATTAACACTGGAACATAAAGTAAGCGAATCCAACACGATTGAAGCAAGGTAAGCAGAGAAAGATGGACACTAACCTCAATGCCGTGAAGAATCTGAGATGGGTTTGCTCAAATTTCCCTGATTTCAGCGCGGCAGGACTAAAGATCTGCCACAGCAGCGAGACAAAAATTAGCTGAGTGACAAATTAAAGGAACAAAAAGGGCTTATGAAATGTGAAAGCATGACAATAAATACCTTTGACGTGGCAGGGTTGGAAGCGAGGGAATCAGAAGAAAGAGAGAATGGTGCAGGAACTGCCATTGGAGAGGGCGCACACAAACGAAGATGGGTGAGTGAAAAAATGAGGCATGGCTTAGTTGGGAATTAAAAGAGTAGTTGGTGGGTTAAGTTGGTTAGAGTGATGAAACATGTTGTCTCCAAGAAAGACGGAGAAACCAAGGTGTTTAAATAAAAGAAAAAGATTATTCCTTTGCATCTCCACCACCAGTTGCTCATGATTTTGTTTTGTCATGCTATGCTTTTGACTTTCTGACTTCTCACAATTCGGTTTTAGCCACTGACAAAGTAAGTTTGGGAAAAGTTCTGGAATTTAATATGTACGGTGAGAATGGCAGTGCAATAAAGGAAAATTCATTAACATGATGACGGATAGATCTACCCATAATACAGATAAGGGTTTGATCATATCAGATCAAATTCATTACCGTGTTATTAGTGCTACCAATTTTCCTCCAACAACCTCATTTTCGTATGCAAACCTTAAATTTACGATAACATCTTATTTAAGAAAATTGAATTAAATTCAATATAAATTAATAGTATAACCTATTATTACTATTATTATTAATATTAATTAATGAAATTGATATACTTTATGTATTTATATATTTTTTAAATAATGTGAAATAAAAAAATATAAATAATAAAGATTACAATTTATAACATCTAAATCAAGTGAAATAATACAAAACTAAAATAAAATAAAAAAATTTAAACAAAAATGAAAATCAAAGGTGATTATAAAATAATTAATTATTATTAATATTGAACAATTAATTTTTTTATATATGTTTTTTTTTTATTTTACTCTTAAGAGATATGTTGTTGGAAAAAAATTAATATATAATAAAGGGTATAAAAGAAAAATCATAGAGATATCTCTTTTATATGTAGTATAGAAAATTAATAATATTATGATAAAAAAATTGTTTCAATAAATTTTATTTATTAATTTTAGTTTTGATTAACATAAATTTTTAAAAATTAAAATTAATTTATAACTTCTATTATTATTTAAAAATATTATTTTATGTATCTAAATCATATTATTATGTTAACTATTGACTAAATGCATCAATCAACACAAAGATTATTCAACTTTATTCATAATTTCAAATTGAGTCTTAAAGCTATTCTAGAAGTATATTAGTAATTTATTAAAAATATATTTTTAAATAATTATCTTGTTTTTGTATCGGTATTTTAAAATTTTGATTTAGACTGATCTAATTTAATCAAAAAATAAATAAAATTTGATTAAAGATTATTTTCGTCAAGAATCAAATTCAAATATTATCCAAATAATTTGATTTTAGGTTTAATATATTAATCATTTATATTCAACTCTTTAATTATTTTAAATAATTATTGATAAGATATAATTAAAATACATAAAATATCATTACTAATTGTTCATTTATAGTGTGTTTGGATGGAGAATTTAAATGGAGTAATTCATTTATTTGAAGAATTTTAAATTCTTTGAGGTGAAATACCTTGTTTGGATAAGGAATTTATAAAGAATTTGAAATTCAAGCATTTGTGAAATTCTTTGAAATAGTAGAATTTCAAATTCTCCCAAAAGAGTAAGAATTTGAAATTTCTCATATTTTTTCTTCTTATTTCACTTATATATTTTATCTTATCTCTTATCTCTTCATGTTTTTAATTATTGAATATTCAAAATATATTTAAAATTATTAAATATTATTTAATATTAATTTTTAAAATTATTAAATATTTAAAAATTAGCTAATATTTATTTTTATAAAATTTAATTTAAAAATACTAATATATAAATATATTTTTAAAATCAATTTTATCATGATGAAATCAAATTATCATATCCAACCTAACAATTTAAAATTTTAAAAATTTGAATTGACTTATCCAAACAAAATATTTTAAGAATGATAGAAATTGAAATTAAAGTAATTCAAATACTAAGAATTTAAAATTCTTTAAATTTGTAAAATTTCTCATCCAAACACACCATTAGGGTAATATAATTGCATGGAGGATTTAAGGTATTATTGTAAATGTGTTTGATGTGAATAAAAAGAAAAAAAGAAAGTGGAATATATACTTGAGTTCCACCAATATTTTAGTAACCTCTCAGTTGAGGAGATTTTTTTTTATAAAAAAAAGTAATATATTTTTATAATTATAACCTTTACTTTTTCTTTATCACTTAAGTACATAAAAATTTAAATTAACATATAATACATAGTATTATTTAAAATTTTTGTTTAATTTAATATAAATAAATAAAAAATATTGTTTCATCTCATTCTTTTATGTTTCTTCTTACAAAAACAATTTCAATTTTAATTTTAATTTTATTTCTTATTTACTTCTCTTTTCACTTATTCCGTCCACTTTGGATCTCACTGACACAACATACAAGTGATATAACAATTGTTTGATAAGACGTGATTAAATAAAAAAAAATTGAAAACATAATTAAAAGACAAAAATCGAACGAATTACTATTTATAATATCTTTAAAAAATATATATTTAGGCGTTATCATCTGAGCAGCATACACATGGATGGTGTACAATTGAGATTCTTTTTGTAAAGCTACTTTGAATAAAGGGGAATTAGAACTTTAGAATTTAGAAGTTCTCTGGAGTTTATATCCAGTGAGTCCATCCATGTACTCTACATGGCTATCTTTACTTTTTGTTAAATGACTTCGGTCTTGTTGGATGATAATATGGTAATCATATATATGAATTGATTGTTTAACTCCTTTCACCATGTTTCAATGTTAACATATATTTGGAATGGAATTAAAGAAGACAAAAATAAAAATGAAAAAAAGGGGTATTTCTCTTGTTTGAAACTTTGAATGTGTTCAAAAAGTGAGAAAGTGAAGCAAAATTCGGCACGTCTCACCTTTTAACATTTTCCATCTCAAGAGATGATATTCAGGGAGAAATGGTTTTTTTTTTCTCTCAAATATCTTTTATGGCATAAAAAAACAACAACTTTAAAAATATAATGAAGTAAAAGGTTAAAAAAAAATTAGGGTTAATTTTTTTTTTTTATATTTTTCTTTTTCTGTTTTTTGTTATACTGATCCAAATAAATAAATAAATATTACATTTTCTTCATTCTTGTTTCTATAGTTATGTCTGTTTATTCAATCAATACATCTAAATTTTTTATATGCAAGAAGTAAAAGACAGGGCGAGAAAAAAGGCAGGGAAAATTGGAAATCCTTGAGACAGGGCGAGAATCTTTGTCTTTGTAGCTCCCAATTTAGGCAAGACATGTGGAGGTTGATTTAATAGGCGTTACACGTGTTAATGATGACACACGAGTGTTGCAAAAGATTGATGCCAGATCTCACTAGGATTGGGATTGCCCACGGTAAAAGCGAGTTATTATTGCTATTTAACTTTTCAAAATGGTACATTGGCACTTCATCATCTCCTATTACTATTTACATTCCCAATTACTGTTTCAGCATAATTTACGTTTTTCTTTTTTACACCAAGACTTAATAATGAAAGTATATAATTTACGCAAAATCTTTTAAGTCATTAAAGAAAAAATCACAAGGATTAAGCTACATAGATAGAACTTGAAAAATTATTACACCATCTAATAACTCATCACTAAATTGAAAGTTCCATTTACTTAGATTATATACACAAATTTTTATATTAATTTAAAAATTACATAATACTTTATCAAATTAACATAATATATATATTTTTTAATATGTTAAAATATAAATATTTTAATCATCTTCTTATGCTTATTTAATTTTAATTAAAATTAATATAAACATTCAAAATAATACAAAATTATAATTCAATAGTTAAATTGATTAATTTTTAATTTTTATATAAAGTTAATGTATGGCATAAGAATTATGATAATCTCTATTAAAAACTGTAAATACGAATTCTGAACATTTTAATTAAAAACCATTACCACTTATAGTTATAATACCACTAATGTAATTTGATTCTTCCCATGATATATTATTTTAATCTTTAAAGTACAAAAATTAGTCGAGATCATAAATTATCAATTTGATCCAACTTTAATGCATATTAATTAATTTGATGATAAAACTTTGAAATCGAAATTTTATCACAACAAGTTATTTTAATGCAAGTTATTATCCTTATAATACCAACTTTTATTACATAAATTTCCGAATTTAAATTCCAATTTTAATTAAAAATAAAAAACATATATATCTAAATTTTGTGTTTAATTTAATCACTAATATTAAAAGACTAAATTAACAAATACCATAAAAGTATAGTTGATTTACCAAAGTGCACGAACATTACGAACCCCAAGTTGATTTACCAAAGTGTACAAACATTACAGAAGAAAAAAAAAACCTAAATTAACAAATAATTATTAATGATTATCCAAATAAAAATTATTATCAAATTCAAAGATTCAATTAACTAAATAATATTAAGGTATTAAATTAACTGTTTATGTCAATTTTAGAAAACAAACTCGTTTGTAGTAAAAATCAGAAACTAATTTTTTTTTTCATAATACCTCAGACCAAATTAATCAGTGATACTAATTTCAACAACCAAGTGTTTTACTAGATTTATAAAAGTAGACCACGTCATCAAAGTAAAACTAAATGTTTCGGACAAGCTGAGACAAATATATGTAAAACTGCAGGGCTGTTTAAATTGGAATGTTTAATTCGGGCCATTTGTCTTTTGCCTGATCCTAGTTTGGTCTGACAGAATAATTGGTCTAGAAAAAGTGGGGGACAAGGCCCAAATTGATATCTACGATGAAAAGCATTAGTAGAGAGGAAAATCAACAAAACAAATCCGCACACAGAATTCATCATTTTTATCACACGCCAATTAGTGGACCATGTTTAGTGAGGAAGATCACAATCATGCCAATCTCATCTTGAAGGCATCCTGCCAAACATTATTAGAAGATAAATACTACTAACAAAACTTTGAGAAGAGAAAAAAACAATGTGTTCGAGCAAAAGATAACCACATCCAACTACGTGAAAATGGAGACAGATCAACAAAATATGCACATATGAATGCCAAATTGCCAATTATCAATTATGCCATTCTTTCATTATTCATTGAGGCTCCAGCTATGATCCATGTCCATGACTCGTTTCGATAATCATTATGGAAAGCTTTAACAATCATTACCCTCCACCAAAGTTATATTAGACCTATTTCTGAAACGGTATAGCTAAGCACAGGACCAACAATTTTAAATGAATAAGCAGCACGGCACCATTGACTAAAATTTATTGAAGCTAATGAAATTATGAATGAGATATACTAGTATTATATATGATGCGGAACCCATCATACATGTCATGAATTCCAATCAATTTCATCAGACAGTATGGAGTGTGTAGGAACTTCGGAAGAGTATGCGATAGAGTGTTTATTAGCACCATTTCTCAGAATAATTCACCAGAGACATAGCCAACTTTTAGGCAAATACCAGATAGTTGGCACTTTTAAAAAGCTTGGTCAAGTAAGTAGACAGATCATATGCGATCTCTAATAAACATGAGTGTGTCCTTTTTAAACCACATGAGCATTCAACAGTGCCAAATACCAAAGTTATTGCCACAGCCAGGCATTGCATTTTAAAAAACACTACTTTGGTGAAATGAAAATAAATAAAGACTGGACATAGGCAAAACAACAAGATGCTCAGTGAAACACAACTGAATGACATACTCCAAGATAAAAGCTTCCTGCGAGAATCTCAACTTCTTTGGACTTTTACAAATTGAACAAAGGGAAACAGTTAGCGAGCAATAACTAGTTTTTTTAGAAAACCTTTGTCTAACAACTTGAGAGCAAAGCCACAAGATTACCATAGAAGAACACAACAGAAGAAACACCGCTACAACCTAAAAATGAAAAAAAGCCTCAAGATATCATTAGGATCATCACGAAACATGAACACAAAACAAAACACCTATATGCATTAGGGAAATGTTTTGCATATTGTTAAAAAGATGGTTAGTGTCAGTCTGCCAACAAAAATTACCTACATAGTAGATTAGTAGATGACTATCACGCATACAATTTGGATAAGGACCAGGTAAAACTCCAAACCGAGCTCTCAGTTATTTGTGTATGTGTGCGTGACACACACACACAGAGACCTGATTAAACTTGAATGAGTAATATATCCTTCCTCAACACAACAGGAGACAGAGAAATGAAATCCTCCCCAGATAGTTCAAAACAAAGTGAGGAAGTATTGCCGCAAATTATTAAAAGACTAACAATAACTAAGAATTCAAAAAAGGAGCTCATCAGCATCATTTGGTGCGACAAGTACCAAATTACAACTAAGATCTACCACAATAAAAAGCAAGGGCCTACCTACAGAAGTAACAGAACTAATGACCCTTAACCTTATCATCTGCAACAACATTGAGAATTGGCAAGCTACTGAGGAACTCATCCAGCCCCTCAAAAAATCCAATCCCTTCAATATTATCCTCAGCATTCCCAGTCCCATTCCCATCCCCGTTCCCTTCACCCCCTCCATGCACAGGCTCCTCCACCTCATTGCTAAACTCCACATTCAAATCCAACTTCCCCACGTTCCTCTCACTCCTCCTCCTTGAACCACCGAACGCCGCCTTCTTGCTAGGCTCGGGCACCACCGACACTGCCGCCACGGTGGCAGCTCCATCCACAGCCTCACCATTCCCCACATTGCCATCATTACCATTACCATCACCACTACGAGCCCCCCTCCTAGGCCTCTCAACCAGTGGCACCCTTCTAACATCACCACTGCCTCTCCTTTTCTTTTTCCTCCTCTTGGTCCCCTTCAGAGGCCCGCCTCGCCAGTCGCCGTCATCGGAATCATCCTCCGTGGTGATGGAATGCTCCACGAACTCCGCAGAGGCGTCATCATCATAAAAAACCCAAGGCCCCTTCTTGTTCCTGTTTCCCGAATCCCCCTTCGTAGGGCAAGGAAACAAAGGGGAAAACGGGTTCCACTTGGAAGAAGACCCACTCACATCCTTGAAATCGCCGGAAAACCCAACAGGGAAAAAACCCCAACTGCAAAAGTAACCATCTTTACCATTACCATCAGACATAACCGGCGGCGACCGTACAACCACCGCATGAAACCCCCTCCGACAACTCTGGCACCGCAGCGTACAGTCCTCGTACTTCTTGGGATACTCGTACATGACGTAACAGTAAGGACACGCTGTCCAGAAACTCGCCCCCTCCGTTACACTCTCACTCGCCCGAGTCAACTCGCTGGCATTGTCCTCCTGACTCGGCACCTCACCCCTAGGCCTTTCCCTTTCGAGATTCTCCTCTTGACTCGGCGCCTCAACCCTAGGCCTCCCCGGGCTTTCCCTTCGGGGCGTCGGGCTCGAAATTAGGTTCGAGTTAAGGTTTTGATTTAGGTTCGGATGCGAGGGCTGAATCGGGAAGAAGGTCACGGGAGCGGGAGGAGGAGGAGGCGGCGGTGGAGGAGGAGGAGCAGGAGGAGGAGCAGGAGCAGGTTGAGTGAGGATTCTGAGCTGATTGTCGTAAAAGGCTTTCTTGTTAGGGTTAGAGAGTACGGACCAAGCGTCGTGGACGAGAGTGAAAGCATGCGCGGCGAAGGCGAAGGGGTTGTGGTGAGGGTCGAGTTGGGTGGCGAGGCGGCGGTACTGGGCGGCGATGTAGTCGATGTTCTGAGTGTAGCGGAGGACTTGAAGTATGGCGTACCAATCGAGGTGGTCGCTGATCCGGGCCTCGCCCGCCATGAGGGTATCGATGACCGTTAGAAGCAGCTCCGTGGGCTCGTATCTCGGGTCGGACTCTCGGGCCCGGATCGCGAAGGAACGGGCCCCGTGCAGGTCACGTGCGCTCAAGACCTTGTTGGCCGTGTAGAGCCAGCGCTCCGCTTCGGCCCTGTTCCCTCCTCCTCCGTGACCCTCCATTTCACTTTTGTTTTTTCTTCCTCCACCCCCACCACTTAGCTTAGCTTAGCTTAGAGTGAGTACTACATAGAGGGGCCTTTTTGTCATTTCCATGTGGATTTTAAGAAAACGAGTATCACATGGCTCTCGGTCATTACATTTACATTTACATTGACATTGACATTGACCTCCCCAACTTGAACAACCAAAACCAAAAACAACTTCGTAGTTCCTAAGTTGTAATGAAATCAAATGGCTTGTGTTCTGTTCTCTTGTGTCCTATTTATGCGCGCTTCCGAGACAGACAAACTAAGTTGAAAGGTAGGACCGCCTTTCCCACATTTGACTTCTCAACTCACACGCTCAACCCTTTTAATTTTATCCACTTTTTCTTTTTCTTTTTCTTGTTGGGTGTCTTAATTTCAAAAATCAAAATCAAGAAAGATACCAAACTTTACCACAGCTACTAAAATCCTCCCCCTTCATCAATTTTGTTCATTCCATTTCGTATTTCCTATATTGTAATTACTGGAATGTTAATAAATTTGGGTTTTCTTTATTTATTTATTTTTTAAATTTCGGTCAACTCAGGGCTTGTGTTTAGTTACACTTCATCTCTAGATTGATTCACATTTAATTCAAAGCTCTTTTTTTGTTAATTTGAATATCATTTTCCAAAAAAATATTAACTTATATATCTTTTTCCAATTTTGACTTACAAATTGAAACATAAGTGGGTTAAAAAAACGTCACTCCAAATACGTGCTTTGTATCTTTAATTTGGATATTTGAACTATATTTTAAGGGGAAAAAATTATAATAATATCCCATTTAGTGACTTTTTTTCTAATTCATGATTGGTTTAGACTACTTTCATTAACCCATACTTTATTTTATTCTTTTGACAGCATGTAACTATATTTTATTTGAACTTGGTTTTAATTAGATGCATACACTTTTGAGTTTTTTTGGTATATTCATATGTTTATACAAAAAAAAAAAAAAAAATAAGCTACTTAATGTAACTTGCATTTATAAATTTCTTCAAAACTCTTACTAATAAATGTGCTGAAAATATTTATTAAAAACATTCAATGCAATGCATTAAATATTTTTTCTTACATTTTAATATATTAAATACTTATTGATTATTTTCCACCTTCATAAATATCTTAGAGACATTCATGATCGTTTTTGGTATTTTTAATTGCAACTTCTATCGACACTTTTATGTGTGGTTTAACGGCCGGAAACGCATTGAACTCTCTTTTTCATGAATAAAAATGACAAAAGGGGGAAAATTCCTAAAATTTATCAACTGGGCCTAGATGCAGCTAACTGAGGCTTAATTCAATAATTCTGAAAATTACTGTATAAACCTCAACTAAAGGAAATTGCTATTTTGCCCTAAATGCAGCTACTAAACTAGCAATTGGACTGGAGGGTTTTGATTTGACACAGAAGAATACCCACCAAGCCAAATAAGATTTGTAAAACTCAAACTCGGGCCTAATAAAAACCCAAAAAAAAAAAAAAAATGTCAGAATTTTCTTTGCAAACATCAACCATTCATGATTCCAGCAGTGACTATTAAGTTAAAAGCTCCATCAACTATTTACATCATATTTAGCAGAGAATACATAGTGGGGGAGAAAATAGGTAAAACAAAGTGGAGAGAAGAAGTAAACAGAGATTATTTAATTGAAATAAAATAAAATAAAATGAAATGAAAACTAAGGTTTTGAAGTTATTTTATTTAAAATATACATACATACATATAATTAATTATGTTACGTTATTTTATATAGATGTACACGACATAAAATCAATTGTGTTATATAACGATGTAACATTATTTTTGGTACATGTACACGACAAAAATGAATTTTATTATATAACAGATTATGTCATGTTACTTTGGATACATATACATGACAAAAGTTAATTCTGTTATATCAAAGATTATGTTACATTATTTTGAATAGATGTACTCGAAAAATAACGGTATGGTTAGAATTAGGTATTTAGACCGAGACCCGCGTGTCATTTATTTAGCTTGCACGAATTACAATCTTAAAAATCTTAGCTCATTTAAGATGAGAAATTTTTTTACTTGATTATTTAACCCATGCTTAAATTTAAAAGCAGGTATCTAGGTTGACCTAAAAGCTTTTAATTAGCACCATTAAAAAAACAAGAGTTGACTAAATAGTAAATATTAACAAATATATTTATATATATTATTTATGAGAAACACATGTGATAGTGAAAGTAACACCCAAGTATGTTGTAGGTTGGTTCATAGATGTAGTAAGTCATAACATAGCATGATCTTATTGATGACATCAAAAGGAAAATAAGTGTGTGACATTCTAAAAGCACCTCATTTTAGTAGAATAGTGTAACTATTTTACAATTTAATTAATTTATTATAAAGTCTAAAATGAATCGATGAGTGAAATATAAATTTGGACAGTGATTTTTTTTTATTCCTTTTTCATTTGTTGTCTTACGAACAATATGCAATCTTGTTAGATTGTGAACAACGCGATGCAAATGCAAAACTAAATTATGTGTTCTTTTAAAATCCGAGCGAACTGTTTAAATTGTTTACTTACATGTGGCAGACCAACTTATATATCCCAACACTTTAGGCACAATATTAATATTATCTTTTTCAAATTTTGATTTCATTTTTGAGAGTTGTTTTATTATTGAATCCATATTTATTTCAAAAATTTCTACTTTCCTTATTTATCCAATGAACTTCTTGTCACTTTTACTCTCGTCACTTCATCGATACTACCAAACACAGTGTTAGACAAGTATTACTTATTACTATTAATAATTTGGAGAAATTATATTCATTAACTAGTTTCTTTAAATTTAACAACATATTTAAACTGTGAGTAATGTTATATTTTTTATTCCATTCTCCTACAATTTTTCTTACAACCTTAAAAATAAATAGTTTTTTCATTCTTTTATTTAAGAAATAATATATTAAATAAATATTATTTTTGTCACAATTTCATAAGTTCTTTTATGTATAGATTGTAGTTGTTTTTAGTTGATTATTGAATTGAGTAATGAATAAAATTTGAGTTGTTGAGTTTTTGGGTGTTTTGCACTTCTTGGAAGAAAATGATGATATCATTGTACTCAATTGTAATTGCATGTTTTTTGTTTTTGTTGTTAGAAATTAGTTGTTTGTGATATATACATGTGATTTCATGAGACACATGTTGGTTTACGTTGGAATTTTGTAGGTTTGAGCTAAAATTGTGGTTCTTCCAAGTTTAGAAAACACCATCATGTTGGATGCAACCTCATGGCACTAGGTGTAATGCAAGGAAGAGACTTTGTGCAATGTCGAACACGAGATTGGTATCGTCAAGTATGAGTTAAAAGGAGAGTTGTTTGACTTGGTAAAGCCAAACATGGTTTGAGGGCATTAAGCGTGATTGCCTTTGGAGTTCTCTATGTTGGTCACTTCGAACCCAAGATGAGTGGTAACCGATGTGATCAAGGTAATAGCTCTCTGCCTAGATGAAGTCAAGCACAATTTTGGCGGCATCGATTGTGGGTCAGGTAGAGATTCTTTACCTAAATAAAGTCGGACATGAGTTTTGCAACATCGAGCATGGTGTACTCAGAGACTCCTTGTCTCATTCACATCGACGCAAGTTGTATGCTATCAAGTGTGGGCGAGTCAGAAGCTCTCTACCTCACCAGTGTAGTGTGGATATGTTGAATGAAAATCTTAACTTAGTTGACTTTAAATGTTGGTTTATGATGATAGGTGTTCATATGATGATGTTTTAAGTTAAGCAAGTTGAAAGTTGATTAGTAGTAGAGTTGTACGATGATAATATATATAATGTTGAAAGAGGTTGTGTTTTGAATAATTGATGCATGTAGTTGTGTTGTGTTAATCAACTTAGGACTAGAGGAGAAATGTTATTTTAGAAAATGAAGATTCCATTGTGAGAATATGGTGTTGTGATATTCTAAGAGCCAAGTTGTTGAAAAACCCCTTCTTGAGTATAATTTTCTCTTAAAGTGAAGTGTTGAGTCTCTTTTAGGTCTTTAGTTAATATCGTATGGGACAAGGTTGGACCATATTGGTTTAAAAGTAACCAATTGAGTAAGGTAAAAGGTCGGGGACTAAAGTCCTTAACTAAGTATCGGAAGATCGGAAGAGACATAATATTTGGAGGGTAATTGACGTGCTAATTCCATATAAGCTTAGCTATGCACACTAAGGTTGTAGTAGACTCACATCCAAGTTGTTCTATCCTTGTCATGAATACTGTATTTTCCAAGTCTAAGTGGTGAAATTTGATAAATCATGTTGTATTGTGAATTTTTATCCAAAATTGTTGTTGATCTAGCAAGTTCAAAAAGATTATGTTGTTAAGTTGGTTTGGTAAAGTCAAACTACTTAAATTGTTCACCATGTTGTAAGAGATATCTTAATTAATATGCATGACAGTGTATTGAGTTGTATTTTGTTGAAAGTTGATGCGTTGACATGTTAAAAGATGTTAAGTTGAAAGTTGTGTTGAATATGGAGTTGTTGTGTTGTTCCTATGATATGTTTATGTGTTGAAAATGTGCTAGGTTGATATGATAATAGGTTGTCTAATAATGACACAAGTTGAGTTGTTATGTTTTTCCATGTGTTGTTAAGTTTGGCATCGAGCCATATTTATGTTGAATTGATGATATTGATAGTATAATTGTATTTTACTTCTATATATATTGTTGTTTTGTCTCCTGTAAGCTTATCCTTGCAATTGTTTATTGTTGGAGTGTGATGACTATATTTATATGAGAGCAACGCTTGATCGGGTTGAAGGATTTTTTGTTGTTGGCATGTTATATGGAGATGATGCTTCTTTTGTTGGAAGTTACTTATTCTAGTTAGTATACAGTAGTTGTTTGAATAGCAATCTAGGATTTACGTCTTCAATCTAGATTATTATATTTATAGAGTTAATTATTTATACATTGTTAGTGTAAAAATTTTTTACACTGGCAACCAATTATATCTTTTAATTGTGTCATGTCACTGTAAATATATTTATTTTTAATAGTGACATGACACAATTAAAAGATATAATTGGTTGCCAGTGTAAAAAATTAATAGTGTATAAGTTATTAATTCATATTTATATATGTGTATAATTTATAATTGTTCCACTAAAATATTTACATTTTTTATTTAAGTTGATGAATTAAATATATATATATATATATATATATATATATATTTTTTTTTTTGTTGCATGTATAATATTTTCATTACTTATAATATTGAGTTATAAAATGTATAGATTTGTAGAATCATTACAACTAACCTGCTTATATATTAAAAAATTATTACAAAATATGTTTTTTAAATAAATTATCATAATAAATATCATATTAAATCATAAAATATGTTCATATAATATAAAACCTAACATATCTATTTTTTACTTTTATCTTAACATTAAATTATTGTAAAACAAATATTTAAGTAAACTTATAAATCAAATTAATCGTATTTTTATATGAAAGTCAAATCAAAATGCTCACAATAAATAAATAACTTAAACCCATCGATATCAAGTTTAGACCTAACAAAATTTAATGCAGGATATCTTATTTCTACCATAGTTGCTATCACGCAATTAAGAGACGGAAGTTCTAAAAAGAAAAGTTAGAGTACCAAAAAGATGATCATGAGAGACAAAAAGTAACCATGTCCGTACAAATTGCATATGCACCAAATTAAAATTAATTAACATATTTCGTGAGTGAGGACATGATAATTTATTATCACTACAATAAAATAAATTTTTAATAATCTTTAATATAATTTTTAGTGATAATAAAAATTGTTATAAAATTTTTTAGCGATATTTTTATAATAATTATTATATACAGTATTGCTAAAACATTTAGCTAGTCGAAAAAAATATATAATTTTTTGTGAAATTTTTTACTTTTTATTCAGTCGATATGAGATTTAGATTTTTTTCAATACACCTTCTCAAGTTTAAGGACTATTGAAAATAGTAAGTTATAAATTTAACTTAATCATATAAAACAAATTTGTAAGGTGAGAGTTATCATCCATTTATATATTTTTTAATTATCCTATTTTTTGTCGATGTGAAACTTAAGTATTTCTAAATAAGTAATTATCGCTAATGTAAATTTTGATGTGATATAAATATATTTTTAATAATCATTATATATTAATCATTAATATTTTTATTAAATAATAAAATAAAAATAATTAATTTATTGTCACTAAATAATGGTCGGTAATAATCAATTTTGTTGTATATATGAATTTTATTTTTGGTAATGTTCTTATATGAATTTAGTTTAGAGTTTAAATTTTTATTCTGTAAATATTTTTATGTCATTAATTAATTAAAAATTATTTTTAATATTAAATTTAGAATAATTATTTTATTATATAAAATGTTACTATATGAATATTTAATAATTATTTTGCTATATAAAATGTTACTATATTTTATTTTTTTAATATAATATAATGATAAGTTAAGCTCCTATTAGATATTTATGTATAAAAGTATTTTATATTAACAATATACAAATTAAATTTATTTTTCATTTTCTTTCTATTTGACATATAAAAAACAAGATAAAAAAAAAAGAAAGAAAGACAAAGGTCAAAATTTAAATTTAAAAAGTGAAAAAAAAAACTGAATTTTTATTTCTACAAATAATATTCTTTCCATTTTCAATTAGTAAATATATCATTATTTATATTTTTTTCTCTCAAATTTAGATAAAAAAGATTGATAAATATTTGAGAAGAGTATCACTTACAATATATATTTTTATTATTGAATAAACTTTTATTGAAAATTATAATTATAAATATGGCTCATTAAATAGTAAATAACACCAAATTTTTTAATTTTTAATAAATTTGAATCAATAACAAAAAATATTTAAAATACATTATAAAATAAATTTTTGATATTTCTCTTAATCTTAAGTTAGATGATTTTAAAAGGAAGATAGATGCATCATTATAAGAAATTTTTTTTAACATAAACTATATATAAAATTATAAATAAGTGATTCGACACATGAGATATCCGAATTCGATACCTTATTTAAACATAAAGTTATAACTGATGTACTAGTCTATTTTTAAAATGATACGAGATAATTAAATAAAATTATTCCTCTCATTTGTACCAAAAATAAGAATTAATATATTTATTCTTTGTTTGAAATAAGTGAAAAGAAGAGGAATAATTTTCGAAGAGAAGGAAAACATCCGATTTTTGAATGTTTTTCATTATTTGGTTTATGTTAAATTACAAATAAAATAGACATCATGTTATTCCTTATCTTTATATGTAACTTTTTATTTAACATATTTATATTATTTTATACACATGTTTTTTTAATCATTTTATTTCATACTAAATAATTTTAAAAAACATCTAACTTTTTATTTTACCTTCTTGTTGTTGTGTTTTTTTATTTATTTTCTTTTCTAAACCAAATACATCCTAATTATGTAAGTTGATATTAACAAAAACAGAAACCTTAATATACGAAATAAAAACAATTTGCGAAAATCCTCTAGGATTTACGAAACGGCTAGAACATGAGATCACGTCAGTAGTCATTATAGCTGGCGACTGATACACCAGTAGCTATCTGTACGGAAAGGCTCAAAAGAATCCAACAAAATAGTAAAATAGTAAAAGAAAACCTTCCAGACGGAAAAGGAATAAAAAAATATAGAATACTTCTTTTGGAAAACAATATAAAAGGGTCTTTACTTCTTTTATCTAAATTCCAAACTGAGGAATAGCAGCCAGAGATTGGAAAAAGATGCAAACTCAGATATTTCTCTGAATCATATATCAGAGTTCCCCGTCAGGGGTAACCCAAACATTCCCTTCTGTCTCATCTTCATCATCCATTTCTGGTAAGGTAACCCTTCATTTCTCTACCTCCACTTTACTGTTTAATATGAAACTTTGTGCGTTTCTCTCAGATTCCTTGCAAAATTAAGACCCGTTTCTGCTATTTCACCAAAGTTTGTGTTTCTTTTCCCTTTCTTTGTGCACATGCTTTCCCTAGTCTTAATTTGTTCATTCTTGGAAGATCTACCAAGAATCATGATGGTTTCGCTGCCAAAACCCCATTTGTTTCGTTCATGCACATGTGTTTTTATTTTGACCTCGATGCTTTCTTGTACATGTGGAAACCCTTCTCTATTACAAAGAATGAATTGCGACGTCACGGTTATCCCGAAATTATCGTCGCTTTCTTTTATACTACGGTTTTTTTCAATCATAGCAAAATTTTTTATTACGACGGTTTCTCCTAAAATTGTGGCAAAATTTTAAAACATTGCGATGATTTCACAAAATTTTCCAACATTACAACAGTTCTTCCTAACTGTTGCAATTTACAAAATAAAAATTGAAATAAAAATTCACACAAAATCATGCACATTCTAAAATTATATAATTTTACTTTTAATAAAAAATAAAAAAATAAAAAAATAATGACATGTAATTATATTTAGAAATGTTAAAAAAATATATTTTAATATACTATATTAATTTTATTTCTCTATCTTTTAAATTATTTTAGAATAATTTTTTTTATGTTAATTCTAGGAAGCTAAAAATTAAAAAAAATATATATTATATTTTTTTATGTGTTAGTGAAATTAATAATACACCTTAATTGCGGATTAAATTGAGAATATTGAAAAAATAATAAATAATTTATGAAATTTATTATTTTAATGGTTAATTAAATATGAGATATTTGATAAATTAATTATCTTTTCACAAATAATAACTTAAAATCACTTTTAGGTTTGAATATAATATACACACATATATATATAACCCCTATTTAATTAAAATTTAAAAGTTATTTTTAGTACAAATTAAATATTATTTTGTTCAAAAATTACGGTAAAATTTGATAAAGTTTAGGGTTAAAAATATATTTAATAGTAGTTTTGGTAGACCAAAAGTAATATTTTTCTTTTGGAAATATTATATTATCTTAATAAACTTATATTTTATTAACAATTTTATATATATTTTATTTAATATGAGATACACAATTATATATCATCAAAAAAATTATATATATATATATA